GTTTTTTTTTTTTTTTTTTTTAAGTTTCATTTGGTCACCGTGCCGCGCAATCAAGGAAGCCGCCATTACCCGGTGAATCGATACAGATTCCTGACGGCGGCCATTTTAATCAGCGCCAATCAGCGTTACTCACTTGTGTCGCCCGTCGGCAAACTGAGTCGTCTTGGCCCTGACAACAAAAAGCTGAAATTAGTCACTTCATGGTCAGCTGGGGCTTCTTGGCCGATGAGTAGTTTTGTCTTACAACACATTCAATGAGCAACACCGAATGAGTGCTTTTACTTTGGCTTTTTTTTTTTTTCCAAAGGTTTTAGATTGCCTGCTGTGGAGATTCCACAAGATGGCAGCAATGCATCTTTTTCCTGTTAGATCAGATTATGGCCTGATTTAAAAAAAAAACAAACAAACAAAAAAAAAACCTCCTCCCATCACACCAACATCTTCCTTGGCCCTAATATGTCACAAGAGGATGCCGAAGCAATCCAGTTTGTCATGTATTTTTTTGACAAAAGAACATGAACATTCATTATTCTGCCCTAATATGTCACAAGAGGATGCCGAAGCAATCCGGTTTGTCATGTATTTTTTTTTGACAAAAGAACATGAACATTCATTATTCGGGCAAGTGTTCTACCTTAACATATCGGCAGTTAGTGTAGCTATTTTTACACATGAATGGCACTTAAAAACGCCTTTTTTTTCCCCGGCATATAAAAGCTTTCAGTATTAAAAATAAAAAAAAAAGTCAGCGAGAGCCAATCTGTCCAGCGCCGCAGCGACAAGCCAACATCCTCCCGCACGCAGCAACGGGTGAGCCGCCGTTCTTCTCGGCGAGCAGCTGCCACTGAGTGACTTCTGACAGCTTCGATTTTTATTTTTATTTTTTTTCCCGACAGTTTACCCGCCTCGCATACATTTACATGCATTTGCAAGCCATTGCTCGTATATCTGTTTGCGCTAGTTAAGCGTGTAGTTAATCCACCTGCCGGTTATTAAAGAAATGATGCCTTCGACAGTGTGTGTGTGTGTGTGTGTGTGTGTGTGTGTGTGTGTGTGTGTGTGTGTGTGTGTTTGTGTGCTGGTGGCTGATAGCAAAACTGCATCGTGGGCTAAAAACGAGTGGAGGGTGGTGGGGGGGGTAGTGGGGGAATTGCAGCGTGCTATCTCCACAATGACAGGGGCGCTTTGATTGAAGCCCGCCGCACTGGGATTTACTGTAGATGGAGCAGAGTTTTTTTTTCCCCCCCTCCCTCCTTCACCTCTCCATCCATCCATCCATCCTTTTCTCTCCATTTTGTTTGCCGGCCCGCTGTCTTATTAAACACCCCCTTCCCAAACACACCTCGCCACCATCAGGTATGGAGTAATGTGCACTCCCCTGATGTGCGCCCAGCCGCCTCTGTCCGCCATTTTGATTCAGTGCAGTTGTCTGTGATCATGTGCGCCTCACTCAATCACGACCCCTTTTAAAAAAAAACACAATCACCCGGGTGCCAGGGAAACGGGGAGAAATTAAACTGAGACAAAGACATAGGAGAAACAGTAGAACGCAGCCGAATTAGTCACCTCGACAAGTTCCGGAATGCCCAAATTTTGCAATTGGTAAAGTTTCTGGTAAATTTCTTTGGAATGGTGAACTGGATTATTTTGAAAATACAATAATCCCTCTTAAAACGTGTGACTTTAAAAGGCAAGGCGTGGAAGTCAGTGTCACTGAACATATTGTAATGTGTGTTTGCATACACGTGCCCTTAAGGGGCGGGGCCTGTTGTGGGAGGCGTGTGATTTCCGTACGTCTGTGAGTGTCTAAATGTGAGCCGTGGCTGACAGCAGCATGTGCGCTTTGTGTTCACTGTTCTCCCGGCATTTACTAAACTGCAAAAAAAAAAGTGTTTCGTGACTGTGGCTCTTTTCACACGTGGCTTGAGTGAGTGGAGTCCAGAAAAAAAAAACATAAAAAGCGATGGCTGAAAAAAATAAAATAAAATAAAATAATCAGAGTAAATAGCAGGGGTGCAACCGATATTGTGGGGGGGAAAGCACCGTAGATGGTTTGATTTCCTCCCCTGCGCGCCTTTGCTTCAATTTATTTTCAGTACAGCTGTCCATGATAACGTGTGCTTCCCTCAGTCAACCTCTCTTTGTCTGCCGCTCTCCATGGGGGAAAAAAAAAAAAACCCAAAACACCCAGTTGCCTTGGAAACAGTGAGAAATTAGCTGGTGGAAAAGACAAACGAGACAGAAAGCTGCGAGTTGCTCGTTAATTTCCGGGATGTCCGTTTATGGTTTGATTTACTTGGCTGATTTCAGAGATTTGTTTCGAGTTGCATTCTGCATGTTTGGAGATTAAAAATGTGCACAGGCTGAGAACTGTGTTGTGCACACATTGCCGTTAAATTGGTTTTCCCCATTTTGGTTTTCATGTTTGTTTTGGGCAAGTCATGGTTCATTCTCTATATAAGAACTGTGGTGTCGCATGAGCGTGGTGAGCCTCATGTGACCTTTGTGTTAAATTACTGAATTTTACAAAGCTTCACGATTGTGTTGATACTTTATGATCCTCTCTACCTTAAGAGCTTTTCTGACATCTTGTGGCAAATATATGCAATTCCAACCCCCATTATGGGTGGCCGTCAGTTATTTGGGGACTTTTACCCGCCGAGGCGGGACTCGTCCCTGTTGCCCAGCGGAATGCGCTTGTACAGAAATCAGTTTTATGTCGTAGTTGTTGTGGCGAGTTGATCTGCGATTGGATGCATTTTCCATCCGCTTCATAGCGTCTTTTTTCATGGCCAATCCTCGAAAGTGCTCATCAAACTTTTATTGCCACGTTCCTCCCTCACTTGGATGGTGGATGTAAAACGGCAATTTAGCTTGGCCCATCTGTCCAGGACACACTTCTGATTGGAGCTCATTTGGGAGAATGCCTTAGTAGGAGTTTGTCAAAGCTCTGGAATTGCTTCAAAATGGCTGCTTCAAACCCAAATGGCTGGCCTCCTGTTGAATTTTGTGCATGGGTCCTTCAGGCTTTTAGTGTGTCCAGTTACGACAGACATGCCCTCCCCATTTGGTGCGCTTTATTTTTTGTCTTTTTTTTAGACATATATAATTCTGTCATTCCTTATAAGGCGGCATTTCCTTCCCATGTGTTTTGTGTCTTACTGTGTTCACACCAAGCTAATACTGACTCACTGGATTAATCCGAGATGATCCACTCACAGCGAGTGCGTCAGGTGTGCCAAAAATGTGTGTTTGTGTATGTGCGTGTATATCCACGTATGCTCTTCCATATGCTGCAGACGCGCTGTGATGTGAGGATTTGCAACAGGAAGAGGAAGTGTGAGCGTTTCGGGGTCATCGAGCGCCGGGGATGCTTTATGCGCGCTGTTGTTCGCGGGTGTAAATTTGCCGGGGGAACGGAGAGGCGCGCCACATGCCAACCGTGTTAAGATACCACCAGGGCATAAATAACCTATACTTATCCACATACATAGTTGTCTTACACACACACACACACACACACACACACACACGATAGTCAGTTAATATTGCCAGTCGGTAATCGCACAGCGCGACTGGCAGGCGACACATTGGCACTTAATCTTTTTCTACTTCTTTACGTTAAAGGAAGGCAATTTGCCATAATTGGCCTTTGAATCGTGACACATTCTCACTGGCGCCCCCTCGCCTCGCCCTTCCCCCTTCCCCCTCCTCATTATTCCGTCCGTTCTCCTCACTGGTGGAGTGCGGCCCCATTTCCATTCGGGCGCGCTTCTCCGGCTCAGCCGTAACATGCTTTTACACTTCACTCTATTTATGACACGGCCCGCCCCTCCTCTCGTCCTCTTACCCTGGCCCGACCCGTATGCAAGATGGCGGCTGTGCCGGAGGCACGGGAAAACACGTCGCCCTCGCTTGTGTATGCAACGCTCGATGACTTTTCGCGCAGTTGTGTGTGCGTGCACAAGCGCGGCTTGATAAGAGGCCCGAGAGCTTAAGGATGATGAATTGCCAAACCTTGGGCTAATGTCCTTGGGGGTCACCGTTGGCGTACCAGGCAAGCTGCCATTGGTCGACTCCACGTGGTGCGGAATTCTAATTGGCCGCTTGTGCTGCGCTTGGCCGCCGTTCTCCGTCTTTGCGGCGTTTGATGAGTGGCAGCGGGGAAAGTCTCGCGTCGGCATGTCATAACTACACTTCGTCAATTCATTTTTCCCATGGTCGATTATTATTTTCTGTTTAGGATGATTTGATCTAAATATCTATTTTGTTTTTGTAATTGAAAATCATTTTTAAATTTGTACTTATTTTTAATATTATCTTGAGCATATTTTGTATTTCACAAATATTTTTTAAAAATACCCTTTTAAAAAATGGACATTTTCTTGCACGTCAAACGCGAGCACCAGACGCGTGGTTGCAGTTGTTCTCCCAGCGACATGTTGGCGAGAGTGGCTGTCGTTAACGACTTAGGAAAGGCACTCGCGACTCATGTCGCACTGGCGTCCCGCTCCGCGGAAGCTGCAAACCCACACGAGTGATCAAAGCTTGTTTACGCGCCGCACTATGCTACAATTAGCGCCGTAGCACCATGTGTGTGTGCGTGTGTGTGTTTTTAATTCGTCAGTGCAGATTTGCTTGACAATAACAAACATTGGGAGCTTCTTAAAGAATATTTTCCCAGCTTTGTTTGCCTCGGCTAGTTGTGATCAACACCCACCGTTTTGTCACCTCGGAGCAAAACGCGTGGGGTGGGGATAAGGCGACACGGCCCGGGAAATGTACTAATCACTCTCATTATCTTGTCAAATGCAATTTGTCGTCTTTCTTTTTGCAATTTTTTATCTAGTAGAGATTAGCATTCAACGAGCAAATGCAAAACAAAAAAAATCTACCGCAGAGTTAGGACTAAAACCACTGGTCTATGTCAGAGAAAAAACAAACATGTAAATAAGTATGGCGGTGATCCTGAGTATTTTTTGTCCTCTTCTTTTTGACAGCACGCGAGGAGTACGTGGCCACCTTCAAGGGCTCCGAGTTCTTCTGCTACGACCTGTCGCCCAACCCCATCCAGTCGAGCAGCGACGAGATCACGCTCTCCTTCAAGACGCTGCAGCGCAACGGGCTGATGCTGCACACGGGCAAGTCAGCCGACTACGTCAACCTGGCGCTGAAGAACGGCGCCGTGTCGCTGGTCATCAACCTGGGCTCGGGCGCCTTCGAGGCCCTGGTGGAGCCCGTCAACGGCAAGTTCAACGACAACGCCTGGCATGACGTCAAGGTCACCCGCAACCTCAGACAGGTAAACGCGCAGCCCCGTCGTGCACGCGCTTCCTAACGCCAAACCTGAGCGCTCGCACGGCACTGACCTCCGCCGAAGCTTTTCGGCCGTCGCTTGAATTGATTGTTGAGAACTTTGTCGAATGTCTGCAATAGGTTTTAAGAATACAATTTATGAAATGTATTTTCATTGTGCAATAAGCGGTTATTGTTATTCAAAGAAAATGCCAAAGATTGCTTCAATTGTGGTGCGTGGTGCACATCAATCCAGTCAGCCATGCAAAGCAAAAATGCACCATTATGCTGAAAATGAAGCAAAACAATAGAACGAGTCATTTTTCAAAAGGAGAATCGTACCCAGGGCACAGAGTCTTAAGCGTAAATTGAGCCACGCGCCAAGTTGTGACTTCCCATCCATTTTGAATGGCAGCGTTGATGACGCAATCCCAAGCCTCGGTAATTTGCGGTGCAAACCTCCATCATGGTATTCCCACGCACTGTGTATTTGACTTTGGAGCAGCACGGTGAGTTCTGCCCGCCGCCGGGCACACGGAGGCCCGACAAGGGGCCGCTAACGCTCATGTCGAAGTAGTCTGTGCTCCGCACCGCCAATGTGTTGTCGTTAGTTTTCAGCCGTCCTGCAGCTCTCACAGGTGAGTGCTTCTTCTCATCCACCCGAGTGAGTGAGTGACCACTACGACTAACGTGCTGTGACTACTAACTTGTTACTAACCTGCCAGCAGAACTAACTAACACCATCCATGGAATGATTCATACTACTAACCTGTGCCCTTCTCCTAGTGAAAAGCACTCCTCACCAGAGGGACTTCTTTTTCGAGCTTTTCCCCTTTTTTTTTTTTACTTTCCTCCAATTCCTTCTGTTCACAGTTTTTGATTTGCTTTCCTTTCTTCCCCCCTCTCCTACAAAGCACTCAGGCATTGGACACGCTATGGTAAACAAACTCCATTGTTCGGTAGATCCCATTCTAATTGTTTCTTAGTTTGGCTTTTGCCCCCCCGTGTCTTATTTCCTTTTTACAACAGCAAAATGAGTAAGCAATGAAAGGATAAGTGTGGTTGTTAAAAATTTTTTTTCAAGCTTAAGAATAAAAACCAATCTCTTCCTCACCCAGCCCTCGCCCCTCTCTCCACTACTTTTTTTTTCCTTATTCCCACTTTCTCGTCCATTACCGGTGTTTTTTGCCCACCTCATGACATCTGATTGGGTCACGCCGCACCTGCATGCCAGTGTCCCGCCTCCTCCTTTGCATGCACAAAAACTGACTTCCGAATTTGCTTTCTCTTTTACGGCCCAAGAAGTAGGTAGTGCGAACCCCTCGTGGAATCCTTTGGTTTCATAATATACTTCCAGTGAACTTTTGTTTGGGGGAAGGGGACCTTACAATGCCTGAAATTTCATCCGTTTTTGCAAATATTCTGCAACTAAGTATTTGAGCGTGTGCCTCCTCTTTCAGGGTCTCTTCCGTGAAAGTTCCGGTGCGGGAAAAAAAAAATCAGCTCCCGTCACAGGTCTCAGAATTACACAATTGGATGGACATGTTGACCAGAACAAATTCCACAGTTTGTACTCTACACAATTGGATGGACATGTTGACCAGAACAAATTCTGACCACCACAGAACAAATTCCACAGTTTGTACTCTGGAGGAATAAAATTGAAAAGGAAGTACCGGTATGTCATATTAGGCTTCGAAAGCCATTTTGGGCAAATTCCAGAGCTCGTGCTTTGACGAACAGATTGTGCGGTCGTGTCAATCACAACCAAAATTTAACAGTGGGACAATTTAGGTTGAAGCAGCCACTCTTCAAACAAATTTGGCTAAATAGGCTCCGTTTCGAAGCAGGTATCCAAGAAAGACAGGCCAGAGCTAAATAAAATATGGCGTCAGAGGATTGGCATTGACAAATGGGGTTCAAGGGCCCGTTCAGCGCTGCCTGTAGCTTGAATAATTTTTGTTTTTCCGGTCTTCCTAGCTGCAACTGCATGCTTCCCATCACCCCGTCACCCTCTTTGCGCATGCGGAATGAGCAGCCACGCCGCATGTTTGTGGAATGAGCTGTGACCCATCCAACGCACGTGGAAGTAACTGTGTGTGTAGTAATCCAAACGTGAGTGTTCGTTGTCAGGGTGTCATCTGAGCTGAAACTAAAATACCCCGCCCCCAAGATGGCAAACCTCCCCCACTAACAACATCATCGCAACTAACAACACACTGACGCCATCGCAGCTTACTAACATCATCAACCCTGACCTCGGTACATCGACACTACTAACAAGCACGAAGAAGCCTGCCGACTCGACTAAAACCTTCCACCCTCCACTGTATACTAACAGTCGGAATACTAATGATTGCCTTCAAGTGACCGAATTGGAGCCTGTTGGATGGCAAAAGGGACCGCTCGCGCGTCGAGCGAGGCAGGCTGTTAAAAGTTGTATTGGCGACGGGACAAAGAGCTTTTAATGCAAAGGCGGAGTCTGCGTTTGTCGCGACAGCTAAGAGACAGCCACGTCCTGGGTGGGTCGAGGGTGGAACCTTGACCTTTCTTCGTGCCGGCCATAAAACCAAGGCCTCTGACGCCAGTAACCTGACCGCAACACCACCGATCCAAGATATTGTCGCCAGAACTGGCGTGACGGCCCACTCTTATCACACTACCCACACCGGCGACCGCGAGGTTTCCTTCCAACCTGGAAAACCTCACGAAACAACAGACTCACCTATGACACGGCGCGCTACATGGAATGCAGGAACACACAGGGTTCCCCGAACCAATCAGGCCATCCTTCCGCCACAATCACATTTGGTTGCCAGAGTAACGGGGGCTAATTTGGCTGGTCTGCGCCTAGCTAACGGCTAGCTGCGCCTTTGGCTGTGAGTATGTAGCGTGTCCTTTCCCTGTGCTTTGTTGTGTAGGTGACCATCTCGGTGGACGGCATCCTGACCACCACGGGCTACACGCAGGAGGACTACACCATGCTGGGCTCCGACGACTTCTTCTACGTGGGTGGGAGCCCCAGCACGGCCGACCTGCCCGGCTCTCCAGTCAGCAACAACTTCATGGGCTGTTTGAAAGAGGTGGGCCAAACTGTCACCAAGATAACAACGGAGCAAATAAGCAAGATGTTTCATGTCTTCCTCGAGGTTTTAGCATTATCTTCAAACATGCCTAATGCGTTGAAAAACAAATGTCTGGATTCACTTTTCAGGCTCTTCAAACCGTGCACGCTACTTAAATGATCTATTTGTATGCTCCTTAGCGGAGTTACATCTTCCATCTGAGTGATTCAGTCTCTGACGATAGCTTCCGCGTCCCTAGACGGGACTAATCCTGTCACAAATCTCTTGGACTTACATCCCTCATGCAGCCTCACGTCGCGTTCGCCGCGAAATTGAAAAATAACTCCTGACGTCCATGTAAAAACATTCTGAGAATTCTCTTTCACCGATTTCCAGTGCTTTTGCGGGTCTTTTGTCTTAGATGAAGTCTGGGCTTGAGTTTTTCCAATTGCATAGCATTCAATCCTGATCCTGAATTAATCAGATTTTCAAAAAAATCAATTCATCAGTGGGTAGTTGTGGCTGGGAAAAAAAAAAAAAATTCTTCTAATGTCCAATGACGATGTTGGCTGCAAATGGTCACTACCGTGTCGGTTGCTTCTCTTTCCTTTCCTCATATTTTACAGACATTCTCTTCATAGGAAAAAAAGTAAAAAGCACGTCCACAAACATAGACACTTCCAACTGGCTGATTCTCACCAAAAGTTCCAGACACCTTGCCAACATCAGAGAGAATTGCTGATGTGGACTGTCGTTGAGGGACTCGCCGCATGCTAATTAGCCCGGCAGCGACTCACGTGATTCTGAAACACAACCCGTACCGAGGAGACATAAACACACGCACGCGGAGAGTGTGTCTTTCATTCACTTAGCAAGCGAGCGGCGTAAACAAACGAGGCGACAGATGACGTGCCAAAGAGAGAACTGGATGTATGCATTAGGATGGACCGCGTTTAAAGCGGGCCTGCGCTGGCACATTTCCATATTTAATAACACGACGTTTGGGGCGGGGGGGAGCGTTTGTGTGATTTTATTGCATTTGGAAAAAAAAAAAAAGCTTCAAATTATTTTTTTCGCATTTTTATATGTCGTTTATTGTTTTCTTTTATTTTGTCGACTTGCGTTTGGCTCATTGTGCTTAGATATACTCTATATTCATTGTAATACTTATGGTAAATGCATTGCATGGTTTTCTTTAAATTGCTTGACGAATACGTACCGTGGCCAATGGGTAAGAACGTGTCAAAGGCCTCCAAAGCTGAAGGAGGCGGGTGGAAGGAGGAGCTCCGGGTTAATAAAGCCGAGCCTGTCTTTGCGCTCGTCGCATCAGAATGCTCGGCACAAGCGCCGTCTTCTGCTGCTCCGTCAGAGAGCGTTCTGTGTCAAAGTGCAGCAGGAAGAACACAAACCACCAGCCTGGCTCGCTTCACTCAAAACTGTCACGAGCCAACAATACTTGAAATTCAACGAGACATGTCATGTATTCCCCCACCCACTATTTAAAACAGTCCCCAAGTGTGGTTTTCGTTCATCAAAATACACCAACGAGCCAGAATTGTAGAGTGTCGGAATTGTAGTGTTCTATTTAAGCAAAACTGCAGGATATACACAAATGTAAGTACTCGTACTCGGTGTGAAAAAAAGATTTTTTTAAAAAGCGGTTTGGGTGGCATCCTGGGGTTCAAATCCACTTCCTTTGGGGCTCACAAAAGTCTTTTTTTTCGGTGGCTGGTTCTGACGCAGGGTGATAACCGGAGAGCACTCCCCGATGTCCAATTACGAGTGTTTGAAATGACTCCCAAGAGGTTTTTCAAAATAAAAGGTTCCATCTTTTGGGATTCAGAAGTGATTTCATGTTACATCCTTTCTCCTCATACCCCCTTAAGTCTCTCTCTTTGTCTCTTTTTTTTAAATCCCCCGAAGGTGGTGTACAAGAATAACGATGTGCGGCTGGAGCTGTCTAGACTCGCTAAACAGGGAGACCCAAAGATGAAGGTAGAGTCAGCCACATGGTCTTATCTTCTTATACAACTGCAGACTTTTCTTTATTGTCCCACGGCAGCTTTAAAGACGCTCTCCTCTGGCTAAATGGAATTATGTTGTTGAAATGTTGCCACGGGCACAACCTGCTGTCATTTCAATCTGAAAAGGAGACATTTTGCCACTAATAAGCCCATTTTAGAGTGCCGCCCCTTTGGGATGATTTTTTTTTTTTCTCTCTCTTTTTCAAAGTACATCTAGTTACTGACTGTCATGGCTTTGTATGCGGGAAAGGAGAGACAGTTTCTGATGCACTATTTAGCCATGGACTCTTAATTTTTTTTACCCCCTACAGCTGTCTATGTGTGAGAATAGTTTTTTTGTTTTTTTCAATATACATTAGTTAGTTTTTTTATTTATCGATTGAAAATTCTTTGGTAATGTGAACGCTTTCCTAATTAATTTTTTTGGTTTTAGAAATATTTGTTGAGTGCAACAAACAAAACAAAAAAAGGCCACTCAACATTGTCTTATAAAGTGAACTATAATTCCCAATCGCTTGATTGATTGTCTTTTTTTCTGTATGGCTGAACAGTAATACAGAATTAAATACAGACAAAAACATTTTTGCAATATTTATTGTTAGGTTTTTAAACGTAAAATGTAGTTGTCTTCTTTTTGTTTTATTTGCTGAGCAAAAATATTTTTTTCCATTTTTTACGTATTTTGTTTTCGTTAACTATAATAACCTTGCGCTATAGACGGTAATATACTGTGGAAAATAGCACGACGTTATTATATAGTCTTTCGATATCGCAAATTTTCACCTATCGCGTGTGTGTCTGGAAAGTATCCCCCGCGATAATCAGGGGCTTGATTCTACTCCATCTTTAAAGACTTTCTCCTCTCGCTTAATGGGATTATGTTGTTAAAATGTGGCCGCGAGCCGAACCTGGCGTCGTTTCAATCCCAAAAGGATTGCGTTTTGTTCGCGATAAGCTCGATGTGATTACTCCGATCCGCCCCCAGGTTAGCGGCGTGGTTTCCTTCAAGTGCGAGAGCGTGGCCACGCTGGATCCCGTCACCTTCGACACGCCCGAGTCCTTCGTGGCGCTCAGCAAGTGGACGGCCAAGAAGGCGGGCTCCATCTCCTTCGACTTCAGGACCACCGAGCCCAATGGCTTGATGCTCTTCAGCCATGGGAAGCCACGGCAGATGCAGCGCAAGGACCCTCGCACGCCGCCCACCGTTAAGGTAAACGCCAGGAAGATTATTAAATCAGAACAAGCAATGAGTGTTTTCTGTTTTGTTTTTTTTACATTTGACTCGGTTCTAATGCGCTGTCCCGCTGGCCGTTTCAGGTGGATTTCTTTGCCATCGAGATGCTGGACGGCCACTTGTACCTGTTGCTGGACATGGGCTCAGGAACCACCAAAACTAAAGCCATCGACAGGAAGGTCAACGACGGGGAATGGTACCACGTGGACTTTCAGAGGGATGGACGCTCAGGTACTTTCCCGTGTGTGTTATTTCGTTGAACTTGATATGCCGAATGTTATTTCGATTTGCCAAATTTGAAATGTTCTAATTTTTTTCCCCCAATGGTTACTTGCCAAATTTTATTTTAATTGAATTTGACTTTCGTTGCCTTTTTTGTTTTCCTTCATTGTATTTGTTGATGCATTCATTTGATTGATTTGATGACCCAAATGTATTTGACTTGTCCTTATTCTACTTTCCCTGCACTAATTCACTGTGCAAGCAAAACAACAAGACGTCCCCCGAGTATCCATAAAGTACTCTCATGCATATCATGTGATAAATGAGGCACGATGGCAGAATAGATTCGGGGATGGGGGAGGTTGCGGCGGCGCCCCGCCTCTCCCTCGCTCGTCTCTTCTAGCGCGTCACTTTTTGGACGGCGCTATTGGCACGACGGGGCCCGAGCTAAAATTTGTCCGCTTTGCCGCTCCCCTGTGGAAAAGGCAGTAATCCCGTTTGTCTGCCCGTTGTCTGTTGTCAGAAAACAAACGGCAGCTGATTGAATCCGACACTCCAAACAATCAATATGCACTCGCATTGTTTATGACTTTGTAATTGCAAACAGCACACTCGCTTTTCTCATTCCGCCCTCGTTACTTCTCAATTGTTAGCGGCGGCCGTGACTAACAATAAACCGGCCATGATTTATTGATGACAAAATGGTGGACGGTGCTCGCTCGCCGCCGGTGCTGATGATGACTCACAGATGAAGGGTGCGCATTTGTGTCACTTGTCGGACCGGAGGACTGCAAAGAGAGAGGCGAGATGATGATGACGACGACGATGATGATGATGATGATAGCGGTGATGGTGGCTGAAGGTCATTGCGGCGATGTGTGTGCTGCATTCAGGGACCATCTCGGTGAACAGTGTGAGAACGGCGTACACGGCGCCCGGTGACAACGAGATCCTGGACCTGGATGACACGCTTTACCTTGGGGGTCTTCCCGAGGACCGTGCCGGACTCATCTTCCCCACGGAGGTGTGTCCAGATAATTTGGGGAGGAAAAAAAACTACATACAGATCAAAAAGCCTCCACTCTACTCCAAATAAGTAGTGGATATCTTGATTTAACGTACGAGTGACACCCCCCCTTCGCCTGCCTCAGGTGTGGACGGCGCTGTTGAACTATGGCTATGTGGGCTGCATCCGCGACCTGTTCGTGGATGGCCAAAGCAAAGACATCCGGCGGCTGGCCGAGGCCCAGCGTGCGGTGGGCGTGAAGCCGTCGTGCTCCAGGGAGCCGCCCAAGCAGTGCCTGTCCAACCCCTGCCAGCACAACGGCGTCTGCCGCGAGGGATGGAACCGCTATGTCTGCGACTGCTCCGGCACCGGATACTTGGGACGCTCCTGTGAGAGAGGTGAGCCCAAAAACAAAACCCTGCAGCACTTACTAGCCAATCAGAAATGTTGTTGTTGGATAATTGGATTATGTACACATGTAATACAGAATGACAACATGGGTAAAACCCCAGTCCTCATTAAAAAAAAAAATCAGTCTTGTCAACATTGATGAGAAAATGGCGACCCATCTGCAGCAGCCCTTGGTAAGAATAGCTCAGCGCCTTATTTTTATTCGGGGGCATAAAAAGAGCGGCGAGATCGGAGCGAGGGGCCACAGTAGGTAGGAGCAGCGCAATCGATGCGGCGGCGACCGAGGCGCTGGCTCGGAACCATCTCGACGTGACAGCAGGTGAGGGGACCACGGGAGGGAATCTCGGCAGCGAGATACGAGGGAGCAAAAAAAAAAAAAAAAGAGCGATGAATTGAAAGAGGGAACAGCGCCGGTGGGACTGATACAGCCGGAGAGATGGAGTCAGACAAGAAGAAGCGGCGGCGATTGTCGCTGGACTCGAGAGTGTTTCTCATCCCGTGTGTGTGTGTGAGAGAGCGCGCGCATTGAGGGGTCACTAACTGCTGCGTCGCTGGATTAAAGGAAGCACAGATGGTGAAGCAGATGGAGAGCGTGATTGGCCGTGTTTACGCCTTCTACCTGTGGTTTCTTCCTCCCTTTTTTCTTTCTTTTTTTTTTTTTTTTTTTTTACATCCTCCATCGCTCCCTCCCTCGTCGTCCTCTGCTGCTCTTTGTTCCACCCCCTCTCTTCTAAAACGAAACACCGCTGCCGCCACCGATGTTTACTCTCCAAAGAGCGGACATGTTTCCCATCACTGCTTCTTCTTTGAAAGATTATTGGACGCCGTGATCCGGCACCGGCGTTTCCAGGCAGTGCGAAAGGGGTGCAAAATTGCACAGTTGACTTGCTCAACGGATTCGATGTTTGCGTGCCGTCCCTACGGAGCAATGCATCGAAAACGCTGGCGTGTATCGGCGGTTCTCATCCTGCAGTGGTGCCTTGAAAAAAAAAAGCATATCGGAATCACATAATCAAATTGAATAATCAAGAATTGAACACTGGGTGCGCCACGATAAATTAATTGCAGCTCCTCTTGGTGTGTGCCACTTGGCCACCGAGGGGCAGTATAATAAAATCACGCAAACACAAATGAACCAATAGGGAGTGATGATTTGAAATACTTTGAGCCAAAGTGTCGAGTCAGGACACAGACGTGCGTGGCTCTTCGTCCTCGTCCGATGTTCTCTGTGGTAACAAAAGCGAAGCAACCGTAATCAAAGTGGATATTACATTGCCAGTCAAAGCCAATAGTGGTGAACAACAGGATGTGCTGCTCTTCCTTTCTCCACCTCTTTTCACGCGATGCCACCATCTTCATCTTCTTCTTGGTCCTCGTCTTCTTCTTGCCTCAACGTTAATGAGGCTTCATTTGCATTTTAACCAACAGCTTCCGCCTCCCTCACTTAACTAAACCCTCCTCTGTTCACACATAAATTCGCTCACATCTTCTTACACACACACACACACACACACACACACACACACACACACACACACACACACACACGCACACTTTCTCCCTCCCTCTTCTCATCAGTATGCATGAGCCTCCCTCTCTTCCTGTTCTGTTGTTTTTGCCTTGGCTCCCGCCGTCTCCCGCGGAAACAGGAAGAGCGAAGGGGGTAGAAAGCAAAGTAGGAACGGAGAGAGAGAGAGCGAGCGAGCGAAAGAGCCATCGCAGAGGGAAAGAAAGAAATACAGAGAGCGTGTTTAGCCTCGTATGTAATTGTCCAATAAAGAACGTTGCCTCCGAGGTAAACAGTTTAGAAGCTGAGGATTGGCCCCAGCAGGTAGCGCGGGTGAGAACATGATGGATATGCAAATGAGTATGCAAACGAATGCGCAGATGGGATCACCTGAGCTTGTTGCATGGTGGCTGCGGGCTTCGGGCTGCCAGCGTTTCTCCGCCACCGCCGCATATTCTGATGCAACCTGATCACTGAAAGCCGGCAGCTAGCCGATGCTATTTTTAGCGGGGTGGGGTGTCGATTCAGGCATGCTATCTGTTGTGGCAGCGTTTTCTATATTATTGAGAGTAGTTTCTCGAGGAGAAACTGCACGCCCCCTTTTTTTTTTTTTTTTTTTTTTTTTTCGAATGTTCATGCGTTTGTAAGAAAACAAAAATCACGATTTGATTTTGATAGATTGCCCAGCCTGGGCAGCGAGCCGCATCCGTGTCCTCACATGCAGCAGGCTGTTTATAAAGCCTAAACATTTCAAATGTGCGCAAATACTTTAAAGAGAGCGTTTGAAAATAACCTCGCACAATGAGCCTCGTGACATTATCTGATCGCGCCATCTCCAAGACACTTTACGCAAATGTAAATATGTCCTCCCTGTCCATCGGTGTCCTCCACGGCTGACTCTCACACTCTGCCTCCTCCTCTCCTCCGTCTCCCGCAGACGCGACCATCCTGTCGTACGACGGCAGCAAGTTTATGAAGGTGCAGCTGCCCATGGCCATGCATACGGAGGCGGAGGACGTGTCGCTGCGCTTCCGCTCCCAGCGGGCCTACGGCGTTCTCATGGCAACCACGTCCCGCAACTCGGCCGACACCCTGCGCCTGGAGCTGGACGGCGGCCGCGTGCGCCTCACCGTCAACCTAGGTACTCGCACGCACGCCTCCTCCTCGCAATTACCATCCAGGGGAATCCGTCTCCGACTGGAATGTCGTTACATGTTCAGTAATCAGACGCTGTTCAATATGAATGCTGCAAATGACAATGAGGCTTAGAATTCATTTGCATCAGTCATGGGTCTGATGTCACAGTGGAACCACCTCATTTTCCTTGGAATTTTCGGTCAGATTTTCACTATGGCAAACATGCAATTCATGTCATGAGCCACATGCTGCTTCAGCAAGGCCAAAGACATGATCTGTTTTGTTTTTGTTCTGTTTTTTTGTAATGAGCTGTTCTGGTAACTTTTAATGGTCCCACTGTATGTTTGAAATTCCACTAAGGCCAACAAAGGTTAGTTGTGGTGTTTTGTTTGTTCGTTTTTTTTGTTTTTGTTTTGTAATAATGTTGAACAGAGGGTCCGAGCTTCAAGCTGCACTCTCTGCTTACTGCCAGTGGACCTGTGCATCCCCCAGCAACGCAAACACAACTATATGACCACATCACAATTCAGAAAACGTAGCGGGGTGCACACATAGCGACATTGCACACAAGACCAGGAAATAAAAAAGGTCTTCCAAATGTGGCGTACTGGAGATAACCCCCACAGCATACCACACACGATCATGTCAGCTGTTGTTCCGAGACTCACCGGTGAGACGCAGCGTGACGCCACTGGGCAACTATCAGGAGTAAAAGAAGAAATGGAAGAAGCTAGACTAACATTGCCGATCTCTGCTTGTCATTTTTTATTGTGGCGAGTGACTTGAGTCAAGATACTCAAACGCACGACATAACTAGTGGCGAACTTCCTGATTGGAAAATGCTCCAGTTATCCCGATAGTCGGTCTGTGTGTACCCCTCTTAGCAAAACACGTCTCATAGTGGGGCACATGTGTGGGTCTCTGGTTGTCTGCAGCCATGTCTTCTCTGTGGTTGACGCCACGTGACACACCGAGTAACAAAAAGGGAGGGGAAAAAAAAAATCCCAAACAAACGAATCAATCCAACGAATGAGTCGATTTGTTGTCCGACTCCGGCCCGGGCGGCGACGACACGGGCGCGAGACCTTCTGTGTGGCCGTCCGGTCGGGTCGTCGCCCGAGCCCGAGATTTGCAAGGCGCTGGCGGTGTGTCGACGTGTGCGTCCCCAGGGCGTGGAGGCCGCGTGCGCGTGTGTGCGGCATTAACCCTCTGCTCTGCTCTCCCTCCAGACTGTATCAGGATAAACTGTACTGCCAGTAAGTCAGCCTCCATCTCACATAACCACCTTCTCATCCTCTTTTTCTTCCTCTTCCCAATGTGTGCGTTCACTCATCTGAAAGCAATCTGTCATTCAAAGAGTGTGTGTATGTGTGTGTGTGTGTGTGTGTGTGTGTGCCTGGCCTGCATTGGTCAACTGGATATTCCGGCAATTTCCCGGTGGGGCCCCGTCTTCTAAATGCGTTTTAAAATCAGGAAATAAAACCCATTTGCGACATTTATATTTATGAATGCTTTGTGAATGCTTTGTCACTAAGTCACACGTGCGTGTGTTTTGAGTGTTTGTGCTGGTCGGCCATTTTAGTGCAGATAGGGACGGTTGGAATGAAAGCTTGAGTTAACGAGCTAACGTGCCAGTACAGCAGGAGAGTTAATTAAAAATATCTGCCTGCACCTCCACGGTGGGGGGGGGGGGGCTTTTATTTGTTTGCAGCCACATGAGGGATGTTAGGATGCGTGCTTGCGTGCGTGCGTGTTTTTGGCGCTTGCGACTTTCCCGTCATGCTGCTGCAAGTGCAGTCGAATCCCAGATGAAATTGAATTCCCTGGTGTGGCGTTTGTGTCTGTCACGACCACAGAGTGTGGAAGACAGGGAGCGGGGGGCAGGGGGTGGAAGCGGGAGACGAATGCTCCATGACGGCAACGAGGCGGTGAAATGGACGACCGCAGTTGCCATAGAAACGGCGCTAGCTAGCCACACTGCCCTGCATCCAATCTCTGACGGACAAATTTTAGACACGCTACTCTTCAGTCAGCACCTGTGACACACTTTTTTTGTGACGTATTTAGGAAAGAGTTTTTTTTTTTTCTGAGACTAAAGTCCAAATTTTATGAAAATTATTTGGTATTATCAGGAGAAAAAAATCAGAATCAAGGCAAAATTTTACACAAATACATGTTCAATTTTCTGAAGATTAAGTTGTACTATGAGTGGGGAAACGCTCTTTTTATGAAAAGTATGATGTCATTTCACAAGACCGGCCATGCTGGCACAACGCACCAAACCCCCAAAAATGTGTGCGAGCGCGCCTGTGCCTGTGTGCATGTGTTTGTGTATTTGTGGGTGTGCTCTCCCCAGGTTGACACAGATCACTGCATCTCCCTCACAGCAGTCTCCCTCAATCATTTTTTTCATAATGCATTGCAAGAACAAAAAAAAAAGCACCCACGTTGGCGCATGTGTGCGCGCAGGCACACACACACACACACACACACACACACACACACACACACACATCCACGATCATATTGACTGTCTCTCAATCTCGCACGGTGTAGCGCAGTGATCCATGCTAACAGGATGAGATGCTCATGCCTGGAGCACAGCTGAGTCTCCTCCGGTGAACGAGCTGCACAGCACTACACAACGCCGCGCAGCGCGAAAACAACACGACACATTCGTTTTGCAGCGGGCGGAAATGGGCAACACAATCTCGTTAATTGCGTTTCTGTGTTTTGCACTTTCACTCGCCACCTGTGTTCCGTACGTGGGATTGACTGTGTGTGTGCTCGTGTGTCTGTTTGTGTTTGCGATGCTTGACATTTCTAGCAGCCGATTGGGTTGTGGTCCCCCGGCCCTCCTCGCCTATTGAAATCAGAAGTTGTTTCATAAAATTCATAGCATATTGGCACCTGTGGCGAAAAACTACGTTGTCCACAATTTTTACTTCAATTATTAAAAGTGCTCTTTCATGAGTGTAAAGTTATAATATTGCAAGGTTTTTACTTGTATTGTAATTCCACGTTTGTGTTTTTGAACACATTTTTATGGAAAATTGCAAGACGTGCCATGTTTTGTGCCCGGTATGGCGTACTCGGCCTTTGCAAGTGGTACATGTGTATGCATGAAAGATTGTCAACGTTTTCCGCAGCAGGATGGGTTGAGTGAGGTCAGTTTACTTCTCGCCCGCCTCCCCTGTCATTACCGCCCATAGGTCAGCATCGGCAGACTCACTCCAACCATCGAGGCTTGCAGGGGAGGGTGAGGGTAGAAGCGCATGGCGGCGGGGGCTCGGGGGTGGCTTGTGGTGGGCGCGCTCCGCTGTCGAGCTTTGGCGGGTGGGGATGGCACGACTTGAGGCTGTCAACTGCGCAGCGGACGAAGGCAGATTGGGAGCTGGCGTGGGCGCCTCAGCACCAAGGACAGATCCTCGGTCGATGCGCTGTATGTGTGCGTGTGTGTCTAGTGCCACCACGAGCTTGGTTAGAGTACGACACTAAAAAAGGCATGGCGGGGGTGCGCTGAGGGGGTCTAAATATACATATATTTTTAAAGCAGTGTTTTTTTTTTTTTGAAGGAAATGAGAAAAGAATGTATCATATGGCAAGAATATTGTGATGGTACAAGAAAAAAAAATCATGGGCTTAATTTAACAAGAATGGGGTGGTAATATGAGAAAATACAATGGCTATGATTTTATGAGCATAACCAAGACATTTTGGCACAGTTGCTTCACCATGTGGTTTGTTGACATACTGCATTGGAAATGAAATTGAAGAGAGAAGGAAGCTTAGTTGATGTACATGTCTGTGGGTGTGAGATTGCATCTTCATTTTTCTTTCCTCACCTTCACCAATCCAGCCTGCACGGTCTTCTTCTTCTTCTTCTTCTTCTTCTTCTGTCTCCGTCCGTTTCTCCCTGTCTCGCATCTCTTGTCTTGTCTCTGCGGCGCCTCCCTGTGTGCATATGTGTAACGGTGCTCTGGGCTATGTGTAGGTAAAGGCCCAGAGACCATCTTTGCGGGCTCGGGTCTCAATGATAATGAGTGGCACACGGTGCGGGTGGTCCGGCGCGGCAAGGGCCTCAAGCTCACCGTGGACGACCTGCAGCCCGTCGAAGGTAACCCGCCAATCAAGTGACTTCATTTGCACTACTTAAGATACTGTGAACCTCCACTATAGAGAGATATCGATACATAGCTAAAGATACACAAAGGTGTGTTTTGCTGTGCACACATGATTATATGCCCATGCAAAATGGTTTGTAATTGCCAAAGCTTTCCACAAGATGGCAGCAAAGCACTTTTCAGTGAGACAAAAAAAATGTCCTGCATAAGTGATCGATGTGGAACAGATCTCAGGCGTGACTCTGGCCACCCCCCAGGTCAAATGGCGGGCGACCACACGCAACTGGAGTTCCACAACGTGGAGACGGGCATCGTGACGGAGAAGCGCTTCATGCCGGCCGTGCCGTCCAACTTCATCGGGCACCTGCAGGGCCTGGCGCTCAACGGCATGCCCTACATCGACCTGTGCAAGAACGGCGACATTGACTACTGCGAGCTCAACGCCGTCATCGGCTACAAGAGCATCGTCGCCGACCCGGTCACTTTCCGATCGCGCTCCAGCTTCGTCACGCTGCCCACGCTGCAGGCCTACTACTCCATGCACCTCTTCATGCAGTTCAAGACCACCTCGCCCGACGGCCTCGTCCTCTTCAACCGTGGCAACGGCAACGACTTCATCGTGGTGGAACTGGTCAAAGGGTGAGCATTCGCCGCTGGGATACAATGATCAATCGAGAGAGTAACTGATTCTCCAAATGTATGTTCTTGTGTTTTGCTCTTGTAGCCTGCTAGTTTGTATCATAATTTTGTATGTGATGCCAGTTTCTGCGAGTGATCAACTCCCATCCTATTTCAATGTTGATTTTGAGTGACACGTCACACATTCATACTCGGGTGGTTGAGAAGAAAGCTAAAATAATCATTCAAGTCACTGTTTGGCACGCTCAAATTTGTCAGTGTTGTGTTTTTACGAATGATGACATCAGAACCTTTGCCACCTTCAAAGTACATCATGGTGAACGTTCTCAAATCAATTTTTTTTTTTTTAAATACTTTAGATACCTTCACTATATCTCGGACCTGGGCAACGGGGCCCACCTGATCAAGGGCAACTCCAACAGCCCCCTGAATGACAACCACTGGCACAATGTGCACATCTCCCGGGATACCAACAACCTCCACACCGTCAAGATCGACACCAAAGTCACCACTCAGACCACCATGGGCGCCAAGAACCTCGACTTGAAGGGTACGACACCTTCAAGCAGCTCAACAAACCTGACTCGTTAGCACCCTTGGAAAGTTCAAAAAATAAGACTGTGGGGAACTCCGCTTTGAAGATGCCCAAAGTCTTTAATCGGATGTTCATTGAAAAGCTTCTGCATCAAAACTTCCTTGACAGTGACGAGTCCAGAAAGTCGTCACTCATTGACTATCCTTGTGTCTCCCGCCACAGGTGACTTATACATCGGGGGCGTGTCCAAAGAGATGTACCGCGACCTCCCCAAGCTGGTACACTCCCGTGAGGGCTTCCAGGGCTGCCTGGCCACCGTCGACCTAAACGGCCGGTTGCCCGACCTCCTGGCTGACGCGCTGGCCACCGTGGGGCAGGTGGAGCGGGGCTGCGAAGGTGAGCGGGCCGCCGCTAAGCGTTACACGGCGGGTGGGCTTCCATCCTTTTTTTTTCTCTCTTTCCGTTGTCCATTCAAGTCATCCTCTGTTTGGGGGGGGGGCACCGAATTTAACCCACTAACCCAGGGGGAAGGTTGTGTCATCTTTCTGCACTTGACAAGCATCTGTGTTCATCGACTAACCATCTAACTTGGTTTGCTTTTTGTTTTGTTTTTGTTTGGCCCACAAAAGTTACATTGATGAAAGCTGACTTGCAAGGTATCTCGCTTTTTGTGTGCGCTGCACATACCAGGGGAGGGCAAAGGATGGCCCGCGGGACACATACGGACCGCTTTGTCCTTTAATAACAACAACACGCCTACTTGTAACTTTAAAAAAAAATCATTTGACATACACAGCGTGGGCCAAAAGTAGCAATACACGTTTTACAGTTTTTCCATTTTATTTTCCTTTTCATTTGTTTTCCTCCCTACGATCTTCCTTCCTTTTCCTCACTTGCTTTCTATTCTTCCTACTTTGAAACCTACCCTTTTTCCTTCCTTCCTTCTCCCAAAATACATCTCTCCGACCTTTTTGCATTCTTTCCTTTTTCTTTCCTTTTTCTTTCTCCTCTCATTCGTGCTTTTGATTCCTTCCTTCCTTCCTTCCTTCCTTGCTTCCTTACATTCTTCCTTCCTTCTGTCCTTCATTCCATCACATTTCCTGTTTTTCATTCATGTATCTTTTCAGCCTTCCTTCATTCTCTAAAACCTGCTTCGCTGCTGTTTACAAACTGAAGTATGAAAAAAATAATGATAATAATTAAGTGGAATCAAAAACTACTTTTGGCCCACCCTGTAAATGTTGCATTGCTCCATATTTTCTAAATATCTACATTTCAATTCTTGTTAGGTTTTTTTTTTTTTTTTGGAATGAAATATTCAGGAATAAAATGAAGAATGATCATTTATTAGAATACACTCCTTGTGTTTAAATCTACAAATGCCATTGGCCCATCCGTCGATTTATTATTTTTTTTCCAACTCAAATGTGGCCCTTGAGCTGAAAGGTTTGCCCGCCCCGGCATGTACGTTCGCTTGCGTCTGAACTCCCCAGTGCTGTGCAGTCTTGTGTGGATCCCGGTGATCCCGAGTCGAAAAAGGTCCCAGGTGACCCGTCCTCTCTTGAGTCGTGACATCCGCACCACCGCCACAGTCAGTCAGTCACAGCTTGTCCCGGGATGACCACAGCTCCACCGCAAACAGCAGCATGCCATCTTCTTCCGAATCCCGTCCCGTCCTGATCATTCCACACGAGCTGTGGCTAGCATGAGGCAGGAAGAGAACGGCGAGACAGGAGACCACCGGGGCCTTTAAACATAACTGTTATGTTTAACTCCTCCTGCTGTCCTCATCCGGACTCACCACCCGCATGCTCTCCATTTTGGACTCTTTGGGTCTGCCGCTAGGCCATCTGTGCCCGCTTGACACCGCGAGCCCCATACATTTGCCTAAGCATACCCAAGACTGACTATAGAAATAATCCACAGAGTCAAAAGTAGTACGGTGAAAGTCCCTGTAACTTGCCATCTTGCCCGAAAGATAATAGACCAGAACGACTAGAAATAGTCCATCATTATTTATTCACCAAAGCTACGCAATAGGAATCAACACAAACAAGGAGAAATGGCGTTGAAATGGCCTAGTGTGAGTACACGTCCTGTTTGGTTCACTTTGTTTTGATGCTGGTCCACACCCTCATTTATGACTACGACAACAGTCGCAGACCTGAACAATACCTGACTGTATGAATGAACTGTGCTGAATGTACTTACGGGTGTCATGAAAGTACTTATCCTCGAGATGAAATGACCTGTGCGTCCCCAAAACGCGTGTTCACTGCAGGTCCCAGCACGACATGCCAAGAGGACTCGTGCTCCAATCAGGGCGTTTGCCTGCAGCAGTGGGAGGGATTCACTTGCGACTGCAGCATGACGTCGTATGCCGGACCGCTCTGCAACGATGGTGAGCCCGCCCGCGACACTTGGTAATCCGCCCCATGTTTGTTTGCTCAACCCTGACAATTTTCTTTTTTTTTTTTTGCTTTTCCTTCACGGCAGCCGGCACCACATACATTTTCGGCCGCGACGGCGGCGTGGTGGTCTACACGTGGCCCCCCAACGAGCGCCCCAGCACACGGGCCGACCGGCTGGCCCTGGGCTTCAGCACGCAGCAGAAACACGCCATCCTACTACGTGTGGATAGCGCGTCCGGCCTGGGAGACTACCTCCAGCTGCAGATAGTACGTCCCGTAACGCGAGCGTTTCGCCCATATGTGGAATTGAGTGGTAGAAAATATTTGCGTCCGATTAGCACGCTGAAATTTAGTCTCGCGCCATCAAGTGAGAAATTGGCCAAGCGACAGCCGGTACGTGCAAAAACCGGTATGTGACTCGTGTGTTTTGTGCAGGACAAGGGCAACATCCGTGTGGTGTTCAACGTGGGCACGGATGACATCAACATCGAGGAGAGCTCCAAGTTCGTCAACGACGGGAAGTACCACATAGTGCGCTTCACCCGCAGCGGCGGCAACGCCACGCTGCAGCTGGACGACCTGCCCGTCATCGAGCGCTACCCCTCAGGTAAGCATCGGGCGGGCGAGCCAATTCTGACCGCATATTTGCCTTTTTTTGCTTGATTTGAAACTTTTTAAACCATAAAAGTGGTATTGTTTATGCTTGATCCAGAGCTAGGCCTGTTAAATAGTGTTAAAAGGTAATATTTAATTCAGTGTTTTTTCTCACCATTAAAAGAGAATAATAACAGTTGGTGCATTTTTGGGAGACAGTAAAAAAAAAAAAAAGACGTTTAAAAATCTTGTCCTATGTTTAACTAGTGAGAAAAAATAAGGAACAAATGTTGTTTGTTTTCTTCTTCCCTTTGTCCTGTTCTATTCTATTTAAAGTGCTAAATCTTTAGGTAGTCGTCTAAAACCAATGCTTAATGCTAGTTGTTGTGAGGTGTGTGTCCTGTACATGTAACTCTGTAAGAACCAAAGCCAGTGATGTGGCAGCTGTAACGTTATTTCCCTGTGCTCTTGCAGATGTTAACCCCTGAAATGTCTCTTTAGATTAAAGCCAATGAACAGAGAGTAAGAGTCCGCTCAGTGGAAACGTCTCCGCCTGTCAATTGGGCACCAACGCAGCCGCCACCGCTGCGACACACTCCATACCATAGACATCAAATGCACAACACTCAGCCCTGCGTCAGTGTCGCCGCCGTATTGGCTGTGGAAATGTGGAGGAGTGAAGCTGTTGTACTCTCAAGCCCAGATCTCATTGGCTTTTTTTTTTATTTTTTATTTTTTTTTAAATTTTGACTCAAGGACAAGATAAAAAAAAAAAAACAACAACAACATAGGACAAAATGTAACTCAGCCATCCACATACCGCCCACATCAAAACATCCACAAATCCAAACAGGATTCTGCACAGTTATGGTATGCTGGCTCCCTCTAGTGGTGTACAAAAGTAACGCAGAATAACTGTTCAAACTGTGCATAATGTCACATTGGTTTAAACTTTCGGGGAATCCAGTCGAGTGCATTTTTTTCAGTTCGGTTGTATTTAAATTTTAGGTGGAATAAATTTGCAGTTAATCTTAATTTTTTGCTCGTAAAATTTGTCTTTTTTATTGATTTTTTTTTTTATTTTTTATGGGTAATACATTTTAAATTAGTCTTTTTTTTCCATTTTAGATATCCAGATATCTCTATATATCCTCGGGTGTGAGAATTGGTGAATGAGAAGCGTGATCTTGGTGTACTCAATCGTCACTTTCTGAAATTTTAGTCCGTAGCTCACGGGGAGATCTGACACATCCAATATGGCGGCCGCAGTAACGCAGACGCGGTGGGGCTCCGGCGTATTTGATGTCTGTGCTCCCGTCCCGCTGCCAGCACGCCGAAGTCCATTTCCCCCCACACTAAGCATGAGCGGACCGTTACTTTCTTTTCATTGCTCTTCTTTGTGTATCCAGCTCCTGTGCCACGATTTTGGGATCTGCGTAATTACTACTGTGTTCTCATCTCTAAATTAAAGGCAACATTGATAACGAGCGCCTGGCCATCGCCAGACAGCGAATCCCCTATCGGCTCGGTCGAGTAGTTGACGATTGGCTACTCGACAAAGGTAAAAACCCTGATTAAAATTCCTTAAAAGCTTTAAAACAGTTCAATATGATTATTCATACATCTCTCTCTCTTTATATATATACACATATATATACATCTATTATCTTGTGCACCATCGACTAACATTCTAAAACTCTTAATCCATAATTAAGTCTTTAAAAGCTGTCGTGTGTAATAACTGTAGTGCCTGTTGTTAGTCTGTACCTGAATAATATCAGGTTAAAGGGACGATGGAGAGATTTAAATGCTGATAAAACTGATAAAAGGTGCAAGGTAAATAATGTGTTTTTAGCTTGCTTCTTCCCATGTGACAATTGTGTAATCCAATTAAATGTCCAGACTTGACGTCTAGCAGCTGCAGTTTTATTCGTCCTAAACGCAAGCAGTGCAAGTAGCCTCTAGTCCCTTTAACAGCACTTGACAATATTGTGCATGCTTTCTCAGCGCTGTCCACCACATCTCCCCATCTGTCTTGTCTGTCGGCCCATCACCATGGCAACCATCTGTGTCCTTCGGCGGCCCCTTCCCGTTCTCCTCTTCCTCTTGGCTCTTGGCTCTCGTCTCTCTCGTCCATGGCTTCTCTGCACATCGCCTCATCTCCGCCATCCTCTCACCTTGTCTCGGGGGCGTGCGGGATTGTGTAACACTCAAACCTTGCTTTTGTGTGTGACTGTGTGTTTGCGTGCGTGTCCGCTTTCTTCCCCGGTGCGCCTGCGCATGTGTGCGCGTGCGTGCGTGTGCGAATGGACAGGTCGGCAGCTGACCATCTTCAACAGCCAGACGACGGTGCGCGTGGGCGGCGGCGGCGAGCGGCGCGCCGGCATGTTCCAGGGCCAGCTGTCGGGCCTGTACTACAACGGCCTGCGCATTCTCAACATGGCGGCCGAGGGCCACCCGCACATCCGCGTGGAGGGCAGCGCCCGGCTGGTGGGCGACATGCCTTCCTCCTCCATCACGCCGCAGTCCAGCGCCGCCGCCGGGAGCAACCGCTCCGACTCGGCGCCTGCCAGCGGGGACGTCAGCACCACCACCGCCAGCAACAGAAAGCAGGGCGCTACACAACAGGTCAGATTTGTGAAGCTATTGTTCCAGGTCAAATTTGGCCCATGTTTAGCAAAACGGACTCAAGATTCACCAATGCGTACTCAGTCACTGAAAATGGTGGTCATAGTAGTGATGGCAAAACTGTGGAAGGAGAGCTCTCTGTGTTCCCACCACATTTCCGCAGAACCATGCACCACATCAGAGTGATGGGGGGG